GCGCTATTATTCGTAAAGTTGATTATTAATCGTTTTTATAAATATCATTATCATCATTATTTAAATTTCATTTTAATCTCAAATATATGGATTACAATTACCATTAATTATTGTAGAAACGACGCTTTTTAGTAGAAATAAACGCGTATTTAATAAAATCTTTTTTACATTTATTATATCACAATTTTTTAAATTACTTTTACATTCACATAAAGATTTATCATTCTAGATACGAGGACAATTTTCTCATGATTTTTAAATTTCTATTATAGTTTAATTAAATATTAGAGCAACGATACTGTAATGTATGATTCATGTACCTACTAAAAACATTGAAACTATTAATAAGCTAATTAATAAGCTCATTAACGTTAATTATGAATTTTTTTAGAGTAACTTATGGTCTGGAATTCATTTTTATTCAGGAAATATAAATTAAATAATGTTTCAAATTTAATATCTTTATGTAAGTTTCAAGTGATTATCAAATTAATATGACAAGCTTGTTAATGTATTATGATTTTGTTTACAAAATTTTACATAATCTCTGAATTTAATTTTAAACAACGAACTATATGAGGAAAAAAGAATTAATAAATAAAATAAATATGTTGATTCTCATTATCAAAATTATTATTAAGGTCACAAAATTATAAAATAATAAGTTTAAGATTATATCGTATATTGAAAGCTTATACATTACGCAAGATAGAAATATCAATGTTCATTTTATTTTATATCTTTCCCAAAAAAACTTGATTATATTAAAAACTTACGAAAGTATTGTGACAGTATAATCGAGAAATATCTTCTAATTTTCGATTTTCGAAGTATCGAAAGTATCGAAGTATCCACACTTCAGATTGATTCTCTTTTGGGTCAATTTTTACAAAAGTCCATGTCAGCTTTAGAGAGATTTGGATTGTACGATCCAGGATTTTCACAACGAGTACACATCACAATATCGCAGATTCGTTATGAGATTGAACATATTCGCACTTACTTAAGACCGGTACTCGCCTTACGGCGATTTTTGCTAGTGAATTTCGGATGATGCGACATGTCGGCCGCGAATGCGAGTAAATCGCCGTTCGTCTTCGGGGATACGTAAGATCCCGGTTCGGAGATAGGTGGTGGAAGAAGAGTGGAGGTTCTCGTGAGGACCGAACGACTCTTTCGAGATCATCAAGCATGTGAGATAAAGGGGAACGGGGAGTGAGAGAATGTAAGATGAGAGGAAAGCGGTTGGAAAAAGAGAAAAAGAGAGACAGAAAGCGGCAAGAGAGATAAAACCCCGAGAGAGACCATAAAGCGAAAGACGAAGACTCTGAATGAGTGCGCGAGTGAGGGAGAAAGCTACGGGAAGAGTGAAAGAGCACGCAGAGAGATGCAGTAAGGATATGTTAAGCGGAGAATGAACAGAAGCCATCTGCTCTACGGTGATATCTGTGAAGTTGCAAATACCGGAAGAGAGTACCTTCTCGACTGATGCAGTCAAAGAAAGCGGAAGAGAAGGAAAAAGCGGCTGCAGGAAACAAATCACTTTGAATATGAATCAGCACAAAGCAGCTGTATCAAGATGACGCAAAAGTCCTCTCTGTATCCTTTTATATTTGAAATGTTTTACGTACATTTCTGTTCTTGTTAACGTTATGAAAATTATTATTTGCGCATATATGAAAAACATTTTGATAACATCTATTGTTGATCCATCTATTAGTAAATTAAAGTACTTTTAACAATCTTCCGACAATATCATGAGGAAGGAGAAAAAGACAGTCACGTGAATAGCCGTTTAGGAAAGATATGATCCGCCTGATTAGAGAGAGAGAGAGAGAGAGAGAGAGAGAGAGAGAGAGAAAGAGAGAGAGCAGGAAGGAGGAAGAAGTAAAAAAAAAAGAGAAGACAAGAAGGGGACTTGCTGGTCTACCGCTACTGAGATGGCGACCTACTGTCCTGCATACCGCTACTCGCAACCTGTGCTGCAAGAAGGGAGTCGGATGCGCAATATACACTAAGTGGAAGAAAAAAAGAATCATAAATTTCCTTTTAACATGTACAGACTTGCGATTATTTAATCACGAATTTCCTTCCAATCGTCTACGATCGATAGAGAGTTTAACAGAGAAAGGTAATGCCGATTTCGATGTTTCGTGTCGCACGATCCGCGAAACTTTTCCCGCTAAATCACGTGTGTCGGCGTGCGAAGACCGCGGATGCTTTCTAACGAGAATACTCTTCCGTCATGGCGTGTCGGAGTTTCGAACTTGCACTTCCTGCAGGCATTATCTATCCCGACAATACAAAAGCGGTTAACGAACAGTTTTCTCCATGTCGATTAACTTTAGCCGCAATTTAATGCCGTTAGTCTTTCTTGATTTTCCACTTTTCAAACGAGACATGAAATCGGTTAAAAGAAGGCTAAAGATGATGGATGTTAATGAAATTGGTTCTGTTTTATTAAAGATGATGAACTGTCAATTTCCGAAAAATGAAGTAAAAATGCAGAAAAGTGATCTACATTCTAATTTTTATTTGCTATGCATCAATGCTGGCATTTTCATTTTCTCGCGTGAAACACTTGTTAATTCGCTCTTAATTATTTATTAATGTTATATTTTCGCTCTTGGTATATAGAAAATTTTTTACGTGCTCGTTAGATAATGCAAATGCTTTCATTAAAATATGAATAAATGAGCATTCTATAAACAACGGACCTTCCGAACGAAAATGCC